AATTAAAGAAATTCGTAAATAAAACGTAATAGAACAATCTTTTGAGTATCTAATCATTTTTAGTGTGAATCAGAATTTTTTTTAGAGTCAAGGAAAAATTGAAAATTTTGTCTAGAAATCAGGAAAATTCTGTAAGTTTTTTATTTTAATAATATTTTAACATTTCAATTATGATTTCATTCAAGTTTTGCAAATAAATTGCAATAAACCTTATTATTAGACTCTTATCATAATAGAAATATTAAAATAATATTAAAATATAAAACTTGGAGAATTTCCACGGAATCTCCACGGAAATTCCATGGAATTTCCACGGGGGTATTTCCATGGAATTTTTTTAACTTGGGATAATATCAGTAGATACAGTCGCCTATAAATCAGACATAAAATTTTTTCCATTTTTCTTCTCTGAAAAAAGATTAAATTCATTTTTTACTTTTTGCTCAAATATCTCAACATTTTCTCTAAAATGAAAAAAAAAATTCTGTTTGTTGTGTATTTTTATTTATCTACTCTCGCTTGACAATGAAAAATGATTGATCCACTGCAAGTAGAAAAATACATATTGGTCGGACACACACTTTTAGAGTTTTATTTCCATATAAAAATCACGAAAATTAATTATTTTAGTTATGAAAAAAAAAATTTAGTGATCAATTTAAATAACGAAATAAAAAATTTTAATTACTCTTTGTAAATATGTACCTATAGAAAATAAATTTTTGTTTCATTATTTTAAGTATTATTGATTGACGTCATTTGTAACTTATCTTGCCGTTTGGCGAGAATATTATATTAATTTCGTTCAAATTGTGAAAAAAATACTAAAGTTTTTATTTTAAAAACAAAAAAATATGTTTCTTGTCATTAAAAATAAATTTACTATACGCTTTGAGATAACAAACTAAACTGTAGATGTCTCACCTTGTCATATCTACACTACTTAAAGTTAAGTGACACATTGGACGAATAGTGGAGAGAAGGAACATCACAACAAGACATAATATTTGTCTTTTTCAAGAATCAAGTTCGTGCAGTGGAATTATTATTTTTCTCGTCTCTATTTTCTCCCCTTTTGTATTTTTCTTTTCTCCTTCGATATAAATGTTGAAAAAACAATTATTACCTTGCGTGTTGGAAATAAAGGAAATACTAAGAAAATAGTCGAAAATTTTTTTCCTAGTTTCGTTCAATTACTTTTTTCTTTACGAAAAAAAGAAAGAAAATAAAAAAAAACAGTTTAATAATTTTTTATTCAGATCGAAATTATTATAAAAAAAATTATTTTGTGATAAGAAATTGAATATAAATATTAAAAATATAAAATAGGATTTCTTTTTGAGTCTTTTATTAAAAATAATAAGTTTGGAAATTTTTGAAGATTTAGATATTGTATTTGTGGGAAATTGTTACAATCTGATGGAAGTAAGATAAAGGCGATTAAGTTTCTAGTGTGAAATTCTTTCTTCTTCTTCTTCTTTTTTCTATCTTATCTTAACCATCCCCTTGGTGTTGCCTCATTAAGATCTCAACTCGACAACAGGGTCGACGATGTGGGATGAATTCTTAAGCTCAAACAACGTACAGCAGATTGTAGTTGAGATTTCCTTGTTAGAAAAAGTACCTAATCCAGCCAAAAGATGTCGAATGCTTCTTGTACAATTTTGCATAATATACTTGTCTTCTTCAACAGTCATAAAAAAAACAGTTTTCGAGAATTTCTCTCATTTTTTTATGAAAGCTTCTTCTAAAATAGTAAGAGTGAAATTTTATTTTCTATTCAATAAAAAATTGTAATATAAAAGAAAATTTTAATTTAAAATATAGTATTTGTTTCTAAGTAGTATAAGTCAATTTTAGTCAGACATTAATTTGAAATTACTTTCAATAATCTAAAATAATAAGCTAAAAACAATAATATTTTTTCTCATCAATGAAAATAAAAGTTAGAAATAATTCTGGTTAAGAAAGTCGAGTGGGAAAATATTTTTGAAATCTAAAACAAAAAAATGAAAAAAAAAATGAATTTATCCTTTTAATAAAAAAAACTGTTTTTTTCTGTAAAAACAAATTTCACTATATTTTCAATCTTGTCGACACTATTGATGAACTGTCCAACAGAGGAAAATCTCCAAACTACAAATTTAGTTTCGGTTTCAGAAAAGCAATTATTCGACTCTGCTTCTATGGAGGCAGTAAATCAAGAGAGTTAGGAATAGTAGAAGAACGAAGTGCTATGGAAGCGATCACTCCTCACTGCATGCAGGTTAATGAGAAAGAAAGAGAGAGAAAGAGAATGAGTGAGTGAAGGCAGAAAAGATATTGAGACTTTACACCTGAGACAAAGTTTATTCTAAAAAAAAGAAAGAAAGAAAAGACGAAAATTAGATAACAAAACATTTTTCAGAGTTATTGTTATTTTTTCTTTTAAATTGAAAACTATTCTAATAATTGTAAGTAGTATAATTTCGTTTTAGTCAGACATTAATTTAGTAGTTTTGTAGTAAAACTGTATTTTTTTAAATAAATTTATTATTATTTTATAACATTATAGTATAAGTAGTAAGGATCGGTTTTAGTCAGACGTAAATTTAATTACAAATTTATTACCTTATAGTTTAAGTAGTAAAACATTGTTTCAGTCAGACAGGGATCTAAAATTTGTCTTTAAGTAATAAATAGTAAAAGTAAATTTCAATAGGACGTTTATTCATTTATAATAATTCATTATTTCTTTGTTTCTAAAAAAAATTAGCATTTTGTAACAAACGTTTTTGGTAATTAACAAATGTAAATCCTGCAAAACATTATCTTTTTTTTTTAATATGAAAAACTTAATTGTTTGACAAATTGAAATTATGCAGCTATTTTTTCCTTTTTGATAAAAAAAAATTAAAAAATTGTTGGAAAATCAAAAATTAGAAAGTAGAAAATATTTTGCACATTTTCTGCTTCTTAATTACAATTCATAAACGTACAAGTTTTAAGTAAAAAAAAAATGTTATAAATTAAATTTTGTTTAAGAAATTTTAAATTGATTTTGAAAAAAATATTTACAAAATTTGTTAAAAACGATTGTAAAATTATTTGGAAACATCAATAACTTCTTTTTTCAATAAATATTTAATCATTATCATTTTTCTATAGGAATTAAAATTCTTCAAAAAATTCAAATTCAAACCTTTTTGAAATTTAACAATTTATAAGAATATTTATTATGAAACATAAAGAAATTAAAGATAACCGAGTGATAAGATCATTATTTTATATAATTCGAATAATTTTACTGTAATTTTTTCAAATTTATTTTCATCATTTTAATTCAATTTTTATTTTCTAGAATTTTAAAATAAAATTCTTAATTTGAAATCAATTATCTAAAATAATTTTTTGAAAAAGTTCTTTGAGAATTTTCAAATCCATTTGTTTTCAATTTAATTTTACGTGAAATTTCGATTATTCGGAAATTCTTCAATTTGAAACATTTTCAAAATTCAATTATTTCTTAAAATTCATACTTCATACTAATTCATATTTCAATATTCAAAAAATATTTGAATAATTTAAATAATAAATATTCAAATCTCACATTTTAACTGAAATTCATTTTTAAATCAATTTTTTCTAGAAAATTCTAAGAGAATTCAATTATTTAAATACAAAAATAAATAATTCATTGAATATTTCTTAAAATTGAATTCTCATAAAGTATTTTATCAAAACATTTTTAAATTTAAATAATATTGATTTCTTTGACGATCTTTGACGATTTTTAATAAAATTGTTAAGAATATAATCACATTTTTCGAGGAATTCGATTAAAATTGTATTAAAAAATAATTGAAATTTTGCGATGAATTTTATTTATGAAAATAATTGAATTCCTGAAAAGAATTTTATTATATTTATGAAAATTATTGCAAAGAAATTTTTAAAAACAATTGTAAATAATGGAACTCATATGAAATTGAGGAAAATTTTTGAAAATAATTGAAATTTTGACAAGAATTTTATAAAAAAATTTAAAAATTAATCGATATTTTGGAAAATAATTTGATTACTTTTGAAAATAATTAAATTTATGCAATCATTTATAATTTTTCCAAAATTCAATTTTTTTCTAGTGTTTTTGAGTAAAATTCGACTATAAATCCACTATTTTTAATAATTAATTAATTATATATTAAAAAATTTAACAAATTTCAGAAGAGAAATAATATTTAAGTAATATACCTAAGTCAATTTTAGTTGGACATTTATTCAGGTATTAATTTTTTGCAATATTATCGTATAAATTGAAAAATAAAATTGCAATATTAAAAATAAAAATATTTAATAATAATAATGTTATAAAAATTATAATAAAAATTTATTTACAAATGAATAAAAATAACAAAATGTTTACTATATTGTCAAAAAAAAATTTTCTTATTAATTTAATATAAGTACAAAAGTTTTTTTTTTCTCTCCTAGGGAAATAATAAAAGTTTATCCTATTGTTTGGAGTATTTTAATTACAGTTTCGAAAAGACGCCTAATTTCTTTCTCTCTCGTTTTTTCTCTATGAGTATACATGTAATTTGACAGTAATTTTCCATTATTTATATTGAGTGCTAATTTTGTTTTTGGCTGCTCCGATTTCATAATTCTGTGGAACGAACAATTGCAACTCTTCAAACTATTGCAACAGCAGGTGCTTGTTGTAAATTCAGACCAATGTGTTTATATATATATGCATCAGCAGTAAACTATAAATTATAAGCAAACTACATGCTTGAAAATGCAACTCTGTAAAGTTATTTGTAAAAAATTGACCTTATAATTAATAGTAAACAATTTTCTTATATTAATAATAATAATTATTAATTAATTATTATTAAATAAATATTATTATTATATATTAATATTATTATTATATTAAGAATATTTATTATATTAATTATATAATTAATTAATTAATTTTCTATTAGTCTTTTAACTCAAAATCTTCTTTTTGATAATTATTTTTTATTTGAGTTATTCTCAGGAGCTGGCAATTTAGAATATGGCGGAAATAATATTTTTGAATCCAAAGCTTGATTTGTATTTTCAAATGTAACATCTACACACTCTCCTTTCCAGCAAAACTAAAAAAAAAAATTTTTAATTATATTTACAATTTTTTATAAATATTAAAAATTTTTTAAATTATATTTTTAAATTTCTCACTCTATTTAAGTTGCAAGGTGTTCCTTCAAGTGCTACTTTCTTGGGAAAATGTAATTTGTTCTTATCATCAATGCAAATTATTTGCTTGCAAACATTTGTAATCACCTGAAATCAGGTGAAATATAAACAGATGAGAAATTAGAAGCAAACTAAGATATTTGTTTATTTCTAAATTAAAAGCAAACATAAGTCCAGATGTAAAGAATATAAGAACGTAAAAAAATATGAAGAAAAAAAATAAGAAAGAGAAAGAAAATGTTGATACTTAAAACATTTGATAAATAATAAAACTCTAGAAAATTTACATTTTTTCATGACCCTTGAGATTCAGTTTATCGATTGTAATTTTAGTAGTTGAATGTAATTAATACTTGACTGTAAATAGAAACTTACATCCAATGCTTTGGAAAATCCACTTTTTTGACATTGTTCATCAATTGTCATCAATTTTCCAGGTAGAATTCTCAATATTTGTTCATCATTTCTATTAGCAGCTGGATTATTATTGAGGCATCGAGCATCCCATTTACTGAAATAAAAATTTTAATTGTAAAAATAAAAAATAAAAATTTCAAAATAAATATTTCTTTTTGTAACATTAAAAAAATTTTTTTTTTTATGAAAAATTAGAAAAAAATTTTGTAAATAAAGGAATAAATATTAATAAACACCTGAGTGTTAATGACATTAGATGTAAGGAACATGCATCAAAATGATATTTATCTTCTTCTGTAGGAAGGTGAGTGACTACAACTACACCTTCTACACTAAAACATCCTGAATATATTTGACTTTTATTAATCGGAGCTCCAAATCTAATGAAATAAAAATTATAAGTTCGTGAATTATTATTAATATTGTACATAATATTCTGATTGTTATAAAATGAATTATCTTTGTTTTTGTAAAAATAAAAAAAATCTTACAAATTAGCTAACTCATGTGCTGCATTTTTAATTCCTGAAAACATGGCATCATCCGAGACAATTGCTATTGACTCTAATCTGTTTTCTTTATCTGAGTTATAACAAACTTTTCCTTCGAATGATAAACCTTGAAAATTTATTTTTAGTAAGTAACCAATTTTTGTTTTTAATTAACTAATTAAATAGATAATTAAGAAATGAAACACACCTCCTTCAGTATTTGTTTTACCCATCATTACAATAATGTCGTAATCATAATTGAATTTAAACTTATTTTCATACATCATATATTGATATTTAATCAGTTCGTAATTTGTAATAAAAAACTGATCTCCTGCACTGAAGCGACCCTTAAATTGTAAAATTATTGTATAATTATATACGATTAGTAAAGCAAAATTAATTGTTGAAAATATTACATTTTTTCTTCGTCGACGAAAATTGACTTAAAAACGTCGAAAAATTCCATGGAAGTACCCCCTGGAAATTCCATGGAATTTACCTGGAGATTCCGTGGAAATTCTCCAAGTTTTATATTTTAATATTATTTTAACATTTCTATTATGATAAGAGTCTTATAATAAGGTTTATTGCAATTTATTTGCAAAATTTGAATGAAATCATAATAGAAATGTCAAAATATTATTAAAATAAAAAACTTACAGAATCTTCCTGATTTCTAGACAAAATTTTCAATTTTTCCTTGACCTTAAAAAAAATTCTGATTCACACTAAAAATGATTAGATACTCAAAAGATTGTACTATTACGTTTTATTTACGAATTTCTTTAATTGTAAAATTATTCGAAAACGTCAATACATTTTTTTAAAACAAATATTTAATCATTATAATTATTCCAGAGGAATAAAGATTTTCAAAAAATTTCAAATTCAAATCTTTAAGAAAATAAACAACTTATAAGAATATTATTATAAAACATGAAGATATCGATCACTTCGAGTCGAAGACTCGGAATAATTGATATCTTCATGTTTTATAATAATTTAAACTTCCATAAAACTTTTCAAAAAAAAAAAAAAAAAAAAAAAAATTAAATTATTTACAAAAATTTTAATAAAATCCTTCCCAACAATTCAATTATTTTTTCAAGTAATAAAATTTTGCACATGAATTCAATTATTTAAAAAAATTGAAATAAAATTCGTTTTGAGAATTCAATTATTTCCATAAATAATAAAATTTCTCATAGTATTTCAATTATTTGTAATACAAATTTTAAATAAATTCCTCGAAAAATGTAATTATTTTTAAAAATTTTTTGCTAGAATTCAATTACATTTTACAACTTTAGAAATTCTTTGCTGAAATTATCAAATATTTTTAAAATAACTATTTTAATTTTAATACAATTTCTTAAATCAATTCAATTATTTAAAAAAATGTAATAAAAATTCTTTACAAGAATTCAATTATTCTCGCCTAAATAATAAAATTCTTCACAGGATTACAATTACTTTTAATACAATTTTAAGTAAATTCTTCGAAAAAATGTAATTATGTTCAAAAAGATTCAAAATTCAGTTATTTTTGTAATTTTAACTGAAATTCATTTTTATGAAATGAAAATCAATTTTTATTAGAAAATTCTACGAGAATTCAATTATTTAAAATTTTAAATACAAATAAAATGCAAATAAATAATTTATTGAATAAATAAATGTTTTTCAAAATTGAATCCTCATAAAGAATTTTATCAACAAATTTTTAAATAATTGAATTTTTGCGACGAATTTTAATACAAATTTTTAATTACATTTTTTGTGGAATTGGATTAAAATTGTATTAAAAATAATTGAAATTCTATATTGATTTTTATTATTCATAAAAAATAATTGAATCTCGATAAAAAATTTTATTATTTATGCACCTAATTGAATTATTCATTATTGTCAAGAAATTGATAAAAAAAAAGTTTGTAAATAGTTGATTTCTTGTGGAATTTTTATTATTTATGAAAAATAATTAAATGTTTGCGTAGAATTTTATTGAAATTATTTTTAAACAATTAAATTCTTTTAGAAAATTTCATTAAAATGGTAAATATTGAAAATGATTGAATTGAGGAAAATTTTTTTAAAATAATGGAATTTTTGGAGAAGAATTTTATTATTTTTAAAGATAATTAAAATTTTGACGGGGATTTTTTTCTTTTAAATTTTTAAGCAAAATTGAATTTCTGCGAAGAATTTTATTACTTTTGAAAATAATTGAATTTGTGCAATTATTTGTAACTTCTTCTAAATTCTATTTTTTTTCAGTATTTTAATGAAAATCTTTCACTTTTCTTTGATTTGTGGCAACCCTGGAAATGTTAAAATATTTTTAAAATAAAAAACTTTTAGAATTTTCATGGAAACTCCACGGAAATTCCATGGAATTTCTAGGGGGTACTTCCATGCAATTTTTCGAGTTGGGATTTTTTTAATTTTTCATTTATAAATTTATAATTAATAAAATTTTATTTATAATTATTTATAATTATTTTTTTTTGGAAGTATAATTTATATTTAATAAAAAATTAAATCGTGTACCTGACATAAAACAATATTAGCAATGTTTAAACGAACTGAAGGTTTTTCCATCTCTCTAAAATACAGATCTACACCATTCCAGAGAGTTAGAATGTAAGCAACAGTTTTTACGAAATCATTATTAAAAGATCTAAAAAAAAGAAATTTTATTTTATAGTGAAACTCGTAGTAAAAAATTATATTTTAAAGAAAATTAGTATTATATAACTTACTCGAGAATTGATTCATGTACAAAAACCAAAATTTCTGGATAGACAATTTTGGGAGGCAAATATAGTCGTTGTTCAATTTTTTTATGAAATAAATCTGAACTAAGAACTTCATTGCGCTGATATGTTTTTCGTTTTTGAAGTATATGATGATTATTGAATTTATCGTTGATTACTGTTGATTCACTGGGATTAATATTTTTTAATGGACTTAACACATTGTCACCGTCAATAATACCGTTCTAAAACAGATAATTTTTAAATTTACTTTCAATACAGTTATCTCTCGATAATTAAATTTTCAATTAATTTAAATCTTCATCGAATTTTCTTCTCTTCTAAATTTATTTTAATTAAATTAAATAAAATAAAATTTAATTAAAAAATGTAATTGAAAACTTAATTTAATTAAATTCAATTCTAAATTTCTTTCTAAATTTCTTGTAATTTAAATTTTTTTCATGATCCTTGAAATTAAATTTATCGAGAGTTGACTGTAACATTAATTTTTAATGAAAACAAGTACAAACTAACTTTTTTTATTCTTTATGAAAAAAAAATTGGTTTTAAATATTAAAATTGATTGAGTCTACAAATTTGTAAAATTAAATTCAAAATTTAGAAAAATTTAGATAATTAAATATAATAATTAATAGTGATAATTATTGTCGTAATTAAAATATATAAATCATTTACTTACAAATTCTGACGTTCCATTTTCATTAACAGTATGCGCTATTGCAGACTTTGTTTCTTCATTCTGATAGAATGTAATATTCACCTTCTCCATAACCTGCGCATTAATTATTAAATTAAATTATTTCTAAATCATAATTATTTCTGAAAATTAAACATCTTTCAAATTGAGGACAAAATTTACTAATTTTGTAATTTTCAACCATTTTTGAAAAAAAAATATTTCTTATAGAAAAAGAAGAAAAAATTATTATGTTGAATTATAATGTTAATATTAATGGATACATTTATTATATTAAATTATTCTCTTAGATGAAAAATTTGAATATATTTGTTGAATATATTTCCTTACAAAAAATTTTCCTTTATTTAAAAAATTATATTATATTTTTTAAATAAAGGAAACTTTTTTTTGAATTTTTGTAACTAACGTTTCGAACTAACAGGTTTTACTTTTACACTGAGGGTTAATTTTTTTTTCATGCCAAAAATATGTAGCAAAAAAAAATATATATTTGGATTGAAATAATATATTTTATAATTGAATTGAACGTGATTTCTACTGATTCAAACTTATTGTGTATTAAATCAAAAGGATTATATTTAATTCAAAAATAATTTTTGTTTGACTAAAGATAATTATGTTTGATTCAAATATATTTTTTTCTCAACGTACATTTAACTTTAATTTACTCTTTAAATTTGAATTAGTAAAAATGTTTACTAATTTAAATTAGTGACTGACTTTTTGCCTTTGAATTAGTAAATTTTACGTGTTAATAAATTAGTAGAATAAAAATATTGAAAGAGTAATTTTAATTAAAAAATTTTCACTCGCTGAAGAATAAATAATTTTCTATTTCATTTGGTTCGATTTTCAAAAATTTTCAAAAACATATTCGAGTCATTTACTCACTTCAGGCAATAAATAATAAGCGAAACTTTTCGCTAACCAAATTTTTGTATCCATACCAGCAAAAAAGCCTTCTGTTGACTGTAGAATATAATGTTTATTATTTCCACCACTTTTTATCGTGATTGAAAGTTCAGGAATACTTCGTTTACTGATCGAATGTTCAACAGACACAACTTCATAATTAGATGCTACAATATAATGAATATAATTTCTATTTCACTTATTGTAAAATATTAAAATTGTGAAAAATTTTATTTTATAAGTTAGTCTTAAATTTCTGTTAAGAAACTATTACTTAATTATTTTTATATGATACCTTCTTCTTTTGGTGGACGGAACATTTTTTCAAAGTAATCCATCTGCTCTTGGATCTGAGAAAATATTTATTACATTTTTTAAAATTTTAAATTAGGGTTATTGTTTTCATTAAAATAATATTTTTTTTACTTTTTATTACTTTATATTAGATTATTTATTCTTTTTTTTAAATTAATTTATTTATTGACACGCTACCAATAAAATTAATTAATTAATTAATTAATTAATTAATTAATAATTGCTTCAAATACTAAAATTAATGGTTCAAATACCATTTAATATTAATTTATTATATTAATTAATTAATTTATATTAATTTAATATTATTTGATTCAATTAAATATTTAATTGATAAGAGTCAATTAATTAATTATTTGAATCAAATTTATTTCTTTTTCAGTGTAGATACTATTCTTGGGAGGCGTGTTACATATATATTACCGATTTTATGAATAGAAAAAAAAATACCTTTAATGTGTGTGTAAGTGGCGCAGAAAATACACAAAGTAGAATACAAACGTAATTCATTGTTGTAGAATAATTTATTATTTTTCATTAAATTATAATTTTTGTAAAATAATTTCTAAAAAATTCTATTAAGAACTTTGAGGAATAAGAAATATGATAGAAGTCATTCAATAAAATGTACAGTATATATATATGTATATATAAATTTTTATCTTAATCATCATGTTTAATGTAAATTTGCTTATCTATTCAAACAAATATAAGACATATTTTGATATTGCATCACAAATTTAATTTTACCTTATCAAAGAAAATGTTTAAAGAAACTCTAGTATTGCGACATATGTATATCATTATAATGTAAACCAAGTCCGTTTCTGGGCCATTAGACTGAAATAAACTATTATTAATTTATATATCATTATGTAATAATATATCATTTTTAAAAATTAAAAAAAAAATTTCCTCAGTTTTTATTTAATAGTTCATATTTAAGAAGATTCCTCATAGAGAATAACGTGGATTACAAGAGTTATTCTTCGCTAATGTATATATCTCTTTTGTCCGCGTTATTAATCTGGATACTCTGACAGTCACATGAAGAAACAAATGAGACAATCAGAAAATAGAGAAATGATAAAGAATCTTAAATAGAAAAATATGTTGCATTTTACATTATCTCATTGTAAATAATTTTTTTTTTCATAAATTTCTTTTTATAAATATTTTTATAAAAAAAATATTAAAATTCTTCTTTGATATGAGACGAGTTAATCGTTTATTTAAATCAAATAAATTTTATATTCATCAATGTGATTTATTTCTTATTATTATTCAATTTATTGATAATAGTGAACATAATTTTTTAATTTATTGATAATAGTAAACATAATTTTCCAATTTCTTGTATAGCAAAGTATTTAAATAAATAAACAAAATTTTAATTTCAATGTCAACTATACTTTGGTACTTAATAAAATTTAATTAACCTACATTATTCATGGTAAAAATGTTAAATTATGTAATAAGTGAAGTTTAGCATTTAAAAATATATTATATTTTAATTTATTACATCTACCGTATTTGTTTGTACAAGTGGATCAGAGAATAAACAATGTAGAATAAAAATGTAAATCATTGTCAATAATTTATTATTTTTCATTAAATTTTCATTTTTGTAAAATAATTTCAATTAATAACTTCTCCTGAAATTCGTTAAATTTTTTAATATCTATATATTTAATTAATTATTAAAAATAATGGATATTATAGACGCATTTTACTGAAAAACACTAAAAAAAAAATTGAATTTTGGAAAAATTATAAATGATTGTATAAATTCAATTATTTTCAAAAGTAATCAAATTCTTCTGCAAAATTCAATTATTTTTAAAAGTAATCAAATTCTTTTGCAAAATTCAATTATTTTTAAAATTTTTAATAAAATTCTTGGCAAAATTTCAATTATTTTCAAAAATTTTCCTCAATTTCATATGAATTCTATTTTATTTATAAATTTTTCATAAATTTCTTCGGAATAATTCAATTGTTTTTATAAATAATACAATTTTTTATTGGAATTCAATTATTTTCATAAATAATAAAATTCTTTTTAGGAATTCAATTATTTTCATAAATAAAATTCATCGCAGAATTTCAATTATTTTTAATTTAATTCTAATCAAATGCCTCGAAATATGTAATTATTTACAAAAATTTTATGAAAATAAAATTCCTTGAAAAAAGTGAATTATTTAAAATTTTTTTTGATAAAATTCTTTGGGAGAATTCAATTTTAAGAAGTATTCAATTATTCAAAAAATTGTTTGTTTTTATATTTAAATAATTGAATTCTCGTCAAATTTTCTAATAAAAATTGATTTAAAAATGAATTTCAGTCAAAATTTTAGATTTGAATATTTATTATTCAAATTATTGAAATATTCAAAGAATATTTAAATATTAAAAGCATTATAGCATGAATTTTAAGAAATAATTGAATTTTGAAAAGGTTTCAAATTATATTCTTTGAAAATCTCAATTTTTCATACTTATAACCAACAATTCTGTAGAATTAATTATTTTAAAAAAGTTTAATTGAATTTTTTTCTGAAATTATTTGAAGTGTTTATTTTTTAAAACGTAGGTATTCAATTGAAGAATTTCTGAATAATTAAAATCGTTTTTAATAAATTAAAATTTTGTAAATATTTTTTCCGAAGTAAGTTAAAAATTTCTTGAACAAAATTTGATTTATAACATTTTCTTTTTTTTACTTAAAACTTGTACTTCGTTTATAAATTGTAATTGAGAAACAGAAAATGTGCAAAATATTGTCTACTTTATAATTTTAATTTTCCAATCATTTTTTAATCTTTTTTTTAGAAAAAAGGTAGAAATAGCTGCACAATTTCGATTTGTGAAACAATTAAGTTTTCCATATTAAAAAAAAGATAATATTTGTAGGATTTACATTTTTTTTAATTACCCAAAACGTTTCTTACAAAATGCTAATTTTTTTAGAAACAAAGAAATAATGAATAATAACATTAATAATTTTTTTAGATTAATAAAAATATTTTTGAATCATTTCAAAAGTAAATATGATATTATTAAATTTAAAAATAGTAAGGAAATAAAGAAAAAAGTAGACATAATTTTCCATAAAGTTTATTAAGCAACTCTTAAAAAATTCATTTTCTATACAAAAAATTAAATTTTTACAATTTTTATTTATACTGTTTAAATTAAAGAAAAAAGTTAATTAATGAAAATAAAAAAATGTCGCCTAAAAAAATGAAGATAATTTTTTTTTATGACAAAAAGAATTCTTTCGAAGTAAAAATGAAAATTAATTTCGGTGAAAGTGAAAGTGAGATAAAAAAAAGAGTAAGTTAGAGTCAAAATGATAAAATGAAATTTAGTTATTTAAACATTTTCAAAATAAAAGACATATTCTTTTTATAGTCTTTGGAATGACGAAAAAAAATTCGCAAAATTACTGATAAAAAATGAAAATTGTCATTTCTCTTGTTTTTTAAGAGAAAAAACTTTTTTAGACCTCGGCAATGGATTTTTTTTAGTCTTTAGTTTAAACACATCACTAGGGACACTGACCCTAAGAAAAGTGAACTCTCGGTCGATGGGACGCTTGCGCTTTTCCATTTGTAACTCTAAAAGCAATGTTAATCATGGAAATACCTCGTGGCCTCTTGGCAATGACGTTTGTCGAACCTGACACTTAACAATAATAACGAGTCTCATCTTATTAAGGAGAAATCATCTCTTATTAGTGATCACAAAAGGAAAAATTTTCCATTTTTTTTCGGTTCTTATTTCTATATTTGTTATAAATCAAAATTTTCGATTCGAGAGCCAGGTGTTGAAAATAGAAAAAAAATGTTCTTTTTAGAGAAATCGTTTACGAAAGGGGATTTAGTTTTTAAACTGAAATAGTGTAGAGTATTTTTTGAAAAATGATTTAAAATAAAAGGAGCTTAAAGAATACTTTCAGTGGATTAAAAAAAATTCATTTAATTCAATACAATCTCATTTAGATGGAAACAATGTATTTTTACACATAAAATTCGTTTAAACGAATTTTTTACAACTGAATTTTATTATTATTTGTGGGAAAAAAATATTTTTTTTATATTTAATTAGAAATGGATCTGAATTTATTTAGTTGGGGATTTTATAAATTAATTATAAATTTTATAGACTTTATGAATTTTCTGAATTTGATGAACTTTATAAATTTTATAAACTTTATAAACTTTATAAACTTTATAAACTTTATCTTTGTAAAATTAATAAAGTGTAAAAAATTATAAGAATTGAAATTTATTTAATTAATACAAATAATAATTAATAAATAAATGAGAATCGTTGTTCAAATATATTTCAAGAAATATTTGTTCGAAGGTGAGGCTGTTTGATTTACGATAATCGAGGTTAAGCAATCCTAAACAGAGTTAGCAATTTAATGGGTGATTTTTAAGCAAAAAAAATTTTCAATAATCAATAAAGCAAGAGCATGAAGAATAAATTGAACGAAAAAGTTTAATTTCAGAATAAATGGTTAGAAACTAGAGAAAAAATTTTTTTTTTATCACTTTGACCATTACAATTCTAAATGAAAGAAAAGTTCAAAGAATTCTCTGTACTTTTATTTTTAAAAAAAGGGAAATAAATAAATTCTATTTACATTTTATGCCCCCAAGGAGCTCAGAAACTCGTCCTTTGAAATCTATATACATACATATTGCAGAGTAAAAAATTTATTTGTTGAGAACGTCATAACTGAGTATTTCTCCTTTTGATTTTTACATAGATATTCCGAAACGAGAAATTTTAAATATTTTCAGACAGGAAACAAGAAACGAAGAAAACACAAAAAAAAAGTTGAAGAAAAAATGAAAAGAAAGAAAAAGAACGAAAAAATTAAAACAAAAAGAAGAAATAAATTACAAAATTTTTTATTTTCAAATATAAATTTTTTAAACAATTTCATAATCAAAATTTACAAAATTCACCTATTTAGTACAAAATTAATTATTACTGTTCACATTTTCAGAAATTTTTT